TCTCTCTCTCTCTCTCTCTCTCTCTCTCTCTCTCTCTCTCTCTCTCTTGTTGTATTATTTGAATCATAAGTTATGAATCATAGCATTCGTCAAATAATTTATTAATGTTGGTGTAATAACCGATTTTTGCGTGCACAGCAGTATTGGGGTTTGATTAAAAACCAAATCTTTGGTGTTATTGCACAATTCAACTTGAATTGTTGCCCTTGCATCAGACAATTAGTTCCACTAATAAAATCGCAAGGAGAAGGGTAGAATTCATGCCACGTTTTTGAACTTTTTTTTATAAAAATAGAGTTACATAAAAATTCAATTTTAAAAATGCACGTATGTTCATAAATCAATAACTATATAGTAGAAATTATTGTATTGCTATGCTAGAATGTATGAAGTGTCATTAGAATCTCTATCTATTTCAATAATGAGCAATACAATGAATTTATTGGATAAATAAATGAAATAAATTAATGATAATACTAAAATGATTTTCGTCTGCAAAAAAAAATTGTTACTGTGCTCGTAATACCGATCCTTATCAAATATTCGATATTGGTATGCATTGGATCGGGAACATTCCATATATAATTGAATTGTCGATTACGTTTCTACTGTTCTTCGATTAGAATGTGCTAGTTGATGATGAAATAAAATATATTAATTCTAAATGTGCTTATGTCGTGTAGCCAGTGTGGAGCCGCTAATAAAGATAGTTCGGCGTTACATACGAATTGTACGGCTGGGAAATTGATTATTAAGATATTTTAGTCTGGATTTCACTCTAATTGCGGTCAGTTCTGTTGGTATTTTTCTTATCAAAGTGCAAACACCAAGTGTACCTGAAAGTAATATCCCAAAACGCAATAAAAAAAAAAACAATATTTTTTCAAAGCGTGAAACTTAAATTGATAAAATTGTGAATGAATTAAATCGGTTTGTGACCTTACGATTCAAAGTGATAACGTGTGAGTTAAAAAGCTCAAACAATGCCGACCACCTGTAAGGTTGAATTTGAAAATAGTCCGAGAAAGATCGTCTACTCCGGTCAACTCCTCAAGGGAACTTGTGAGATTGCATTTCGCGTGCCAAAAACATTACACGGTAAAGTAAAATGTTGGCACATTTTCAACGGTGGAAATTTGAATAAAATTAATAAATCTGCAAATTAAATGTCATGTTCATAGGCATTTACATTCGTTTGAAAGGATCAGCGTACGTTCAGTGGAAACAAGGTTAATTTTTTAAACATGATTTTCAGTGTTTTATGACGATTTTTGATGTGTTTTTTGTTTCACCCGCAAGGCAAGAGAGTGATCACTGGCCAAGAGACCTATATAGACGAGTTAAAATATTTTGTAGGAGGACCGAGAGGTAAGTAGATTTGTTTTCTTCTATTGACTTATTTTATGAAAAATAACGAAAGACACACATCGAATCGAGTAAATGTTATCTTAAATCTTTTGAATTTAATATTAGACGAGATTCATTTACAACCGGGAACTTACAATTATGCGTTTGAATTTAAGATGTCTGAAAGGTTAGCCATCCTTATACTTACTTAATTGTTGTTTTAAGCAATTGATAATATTTTGGCTATACACTGCAGTCTACCGTCATCAATTGAAGGTCGATGCGGACGGATTTCATACTCGGCTCATGTTGTTTTTGATTCGCCTGGTTGGACAGACAAAAAATTTCATATACCATTCCACGTCCTCAATCCAATAAGTTTGAATGAAAACTTACCTCTACGAGTAATATTACGATCGTTTACATTCTGAAATTCAATTTAAAAAAAATATTGTTTCTTCTTTTTAGCAACCAGTTATTGTCGATAAAGAGCAAAGTATTCAGCCATTTTATATGGTGTGCTGTGACTCAGAACTTACAAACGGTAATTTACATCGTAATTGTTTTGTTTTCTTTATTTCTGTGTTTTCTTTTGATATAGTATCAGCACGGATTCCAGTAGCCGGATACGCACCTGGACAAACAATAAATATCAGTGTAACATGTAACAATAACAGCAGTCAACCGTTCTATAAATTTACAGCCGAACTTCTCAAGGTCATTGCTTATTGATTGATACTTTTGAATGATTTTTTACTTTTTGGTGATCTTTTTTTTCTTCCAGGAAGTCACATTCTATCGGCATGCCGGCAGTTCGCATGACAGAGAAGAAAAATCCTGCATTGCAAAGGGCATGAGCAGCGAAGGCTGTGAACCAAAACAAGTGAAAACTGTTGGCGTGAGTGTTGATATACCAGCAACGGTACCAAGCGACATTATACATTCAAACATCGTTAAAATCAGATATATGCTTCGTGTAAGTGATGACCTACATATTCTAAATCACATCACACTGACAGATTCGTTTGAAATATTTTGAGCAGGTTTTTGGGATAACACCACTATTATTTAACAGTACCAAGTTGATTATACCTATTACGATTGGAACGTTCATAGTTCGTGGTGGAATTCCGGCGAAGACAGATCATCCAGATTATTTAAATGTTCCAACTATTCCGATCGGTGTTGATAATGTCATTTCAAAACAACCATCTGCCTCAATATCGGAAATCGATTAAAGATATTGAATCAACATTTTCAATTTCCAATCCAAATCCCATTCACGACACTATGTTTTTACTATACACGATTGAAGCGTGTGTCGAGAGATGTATTCTTTTTGTGTCAAACACCATTTTGTGATCATAAGTTGATTCAATATTTTGTTTTTAATTTCTTTTTGCTGCAGAACATGCGGACATTTGAGAATAGATGTGTTCTCATATAATTGAACGATTACATACTTCGTTCTCAGACTATTCATGTTTTATAATACTGAGATTTCTAGATAAGAATCATTTTCAATCTATTTTCAATTTGATTGTATGTTGTATTTTCATTCAATAAACGAAATTTGAAATAAACTGACAAAAAGGTGTATTCTGTTGACTTTCGTCTTGTTTCCAATTCCAAAACAAATCAAGATTATCCATTCTCAAGTTGCTATAAATACGAAAGAAAAAATTCAACCGCATAAGACAATCTTCGTTTGAAAAAAAAAAAACTTTTTTCCGTATGATGACGTAAAACAAATTGTTTTCTACTAGTCATGAACTTAAAAATCGATAGAAATAGTAAAAATAGTTTGAAATTTTTTTTCGATTGTCACTGGAAGCGATTGTAAATAAGTGATAGCTATGTTTTATTGGTGAAATGGCAACAAATAAATTGCATGATGCAAGAATATTATTATACCGTGACCGCTGCAATGCCACCATATGACACTTTAGTATAAAGTTGCGGCTAGGTTTACTTGTGGGTTCGTACTCGAATTACTATTGCGTTACAGCTTGCGTATCTGCGTTTATCTAAACGATGGCACGTGTTATGTATAGCATGTTCCAATCATATTAGATGTTAAGATATCGACGAATACACCAGATGATCATGGTGTACAGAACCTCATTCAAGTTCCCCTTCTGTCTCAATATACACATATCATATATTATGTATTTTCATTGCAGAAAAATGCACGAACACTATATTTTCATCGGAATTTCCCACCAATGTATATTGGCAATTCAAGGAACTGAATATTTCTTATTCTTCATGTGGCTATTAGCCATTCCAAAGCTAAACAAAGCCATACATTTTCTGCTTTCGTACAGTAGAACCACAAACGTTATCACAGTCCGTTTATATCAAAATATATTGTACGCTCACACACTTTTTTATATAAAAAAATTTGAATAAAAAGTTATTGCCTATCCCAGACTTATTTTTAAAAAAATCAATTCTTTTTAATATCAAGCAAATGACTACAAATACATAGATGCTTGAGTGATACCATGTGTTTTGAAACGGTTTAATTAATAAAAACAACAATACGCCGTTACGCACATGGTATGTGACGCAATTTTGTGGCACAGACTGAATTCCATTGTAAGCGATGTCAGTTAAGTCGCATTACTCTTATAACAAAAATCAAATCGAAAGTCGTACGAACGATTGCATCAAAATAAAGACTATTGCTTTCCCTCTGGATAAGAATTAATTGAATTTATTCAAAGGTTGACAAAGGTTCTTAAGTGAATAGTGAATATGAATCATCAGTACGATATATACAATTAAATAAAACATGAAATACACCCAAACATCGGATGATTCAAGATGTTTATGCTAGGGGGTAGACACCAATTTTAGTACACTTAGTTTCATTTAATAAGTATTTAGTTTTTTTTAGTATACAATCAAAAATGCAAATATTCTTCTAGTATTTCTAGTATTGAGCTGAACGCATTGCATTGCCAATGTTTTCTTCATCCATACGGAATACAATAGAATCCATTGTTCTTAATGTACCGTTAATCCCGTCATAAGAAATGTATTGGAAATGTATTTTGTATGGATGAAATTCTACATAAAGAATACACTCTTACGACGGATTTCTTCCATATAAAATGTATTGCCAATACTTTTCATATGGATGAATCGACGTAAACCTTTTTTTCACAAATAATCTTCTAGTAGCTTCTAGTTTGCTCTTAGTTTTGTATAGTATAAATTTGTGTCTACCCCCTAGTGTTTATGTCACTTTTGAATGATGTACATCGTGTATGTTTTAATTGACAAATTGAAACTATAACAGTCACATTCGTGCGTAATATTTTGTCAGTTAAGTTTTGCCTTTTCAGCAACAAAGTTTATTGCATCAGTGATTTATGAGACTTTTCTCTTAATTTTGTAAAACCAAATATATGTGAAAAGAAGTATATAAGTGAAGAAGGAATAACCTAATATTTAAAAAAAAATCTTGTAAAAAAATGTCAATCTCATGTGAAATTGATTTTGAAAGGAATCCGCTAAAAGTGATTCACTCTGGTCAGCAATTGCGCGGCATTGTTAGTCTAAAGTTTAAAAAACAAAAGAAGGTTTGCGGTATCTATATCCGGTTATATGGTGGGGCGTATGCAAGTTGGACTGAATTTGATCTTTTAAACTTTGGATGCGATCGTATTTTTTGTTATGATTATACAAAAACCTATACGGTCAAAGAAGAGCATTTCAATGAACGAGCATACTTTTTGGGCGATGATAGTGGTGTGTGTGTTGGAAGCCAACGTTTAAAAAAATCACCGCTCATATTTAAAATGTCACCCGGTGTGCATAGTTATACATTTGATTGTACGTTACCATCAACACTGCCGACGTCCGTGGAGGGGAAACACGGTCACATAAAATACTTGACTTGTGTTGTGGTCGATGTTTTGCATTCAGAGAAGCGTGTATTTCAGCAGCCATTCACTGTTATCAAGCCGATTGATTTGAATGCTGAACCAGAATTTCGAGTAATTCATTAAAAATATATATAAATATTTATACAATTCAGTTCAAAATTAGGGGATTGTTCGCAAAAAAAAATTTTATTTACAGAATCCGATTATTGCAAAGTTAACCACAGATGATATGCAAATTTTTGTGCTAGTACCAGTTTGCGGATACACTCCCGGCCAAGTAATCAATCTTGAAATTGATGTAAACAATAAAAGCAAGCGGTCAATCACTGAATTTGGCATTGAGCTCGTTAGAGTAAGAGATGCAAATTAAATTAATTGAATTTATTCAAAATAAAGGAATATTTGCATTTGGTTTTCATTTCAGGAAATTGTTTACTCCAAATCTGCCAAGAGCAATCATCACAAAGTGGAAAGAGTTTCGATTGTAAAAACAAAAACACGTGGCTGCGAAAAATATCAAAGCGAAATCATTGCTGCAAATATCCCATTGCCGTCGATTCCACCAACGGATCTCACAACAAATCCCATTCTTAAAATCAGCTATTTCATGCGCGTAAGTTTGTTTGAAAATTATTCGAAATAAGACTGAACATCTTGATTGAAATGTTTACTTAGGTTGTTGGCTTCGTTAATTCGGTTTTCTTTCGCAATGACAATCCGAAGCTTGAATTTCCAATTACTATTGGCTCGCGTCCAATTCAAGATGATTCGCCGTATTCAAACTGGAACAATGGCCGAATACCATTCGATCAACATGGTAAAACTAATTAGCACATAATTCTAATTTAGTTTTAATGTGATGAATTTACTTTGATTAATTAATTAAACCGAATTTCATTTCAAGATTTAAACAAAGAACGATTCATTTATGAAGAAACTCTACGAAGATATGGCGCAATTGGCAGCAATTTCAGACCAACGTATCCAGTATTTAAAAGAGAAACTTCATATTCCATTCAAAACTAAAAACAAACTGACTTTCGGAGCTAGACACAACACAATCTTCATATGTGCACTTGGAAATTCGGATTATTCGGTGTAATTAAGTAATTGTTGGGTGAACTTTAAGGCGCTGAATAATTGTGTGTCAAAGAAAATTATGTAGAGACTTATTTTAGTTAGAAAATACATTAATAATTATTCCTAAAACAAAAACAATGTCGTAATTCATTTCATTTGAGAGCTCATTTTGCATTTTGTGCGTTATGTTTTGTCCATCGATTCATGTTACATGATTTATGGCGCATAATTGGAAATATCAATATAGTCAAAAGAATACTAGAAATTCTATTTTGCTTCACATTTCAAAGAATTCCGAAGAAAAATGGTGCCTGCTTTATGTTTACGGCTGCGTGCATGCATACTTTCAATTCATTGTTTTGTTTACATAGCAAAAATAAAATAGCAAGACAGTCGGATTCGTTTCATACAAAGAATTTGAATTTTATCACATTGTTGACGAAGCATGCGTTCACAGCGTTCGTTAATAATAACAAATCTACTTTCAATCGTTCCATACGCGAGTGTTTTTTTTTGTGTGCTTCGAATTCTCCGCCGATGCTGTTAATACGAAATTCAGGCATTCTTTTATACAAGTAGTGTGATGCCGGTGAGCAGTTTATTTTAGTGAGAGCATCGAAACCAGATGTGTTGTGACTTATCTAATTATAAAATCGTCAAATAAACGTTACGGAAACGTCAAATGATGCAACCAACCGAACCAAAGAATTCTAAATGTGAACAAAATTTTCGATCGAAACAAATCGGTTCAAATCAGTCCTCATGAGTGTCTCAAACATTGGCAACGCTGCAGTTGTCTGATCGATCTCGTATTTTATTACTACATGGAAATTAAATTCGTCTGAATTAACGACATAATAAAAAACTACGCATAAAATCTTTGTTTTGACATTTGTTAATTTATAGTGAATTCCATAATAAAATGACCACTTGTAACATTACGTTTGAAAATAACTCCATGAAAATCGTTCATTCTGGACAATCCATACGGGGTGCGGTACAATTAAATTTAAACAGAGATATTAATGTACGTGGAATATATATTCACATGTATGGTGGTGCCTACACAAGTTGGCGTGACCGTTTACAACTCTGCAAAACACATGCGGACAACGAGGATTATTTGAATCAACGAACATATTTGGTGGGCGCAACGAACGGTATGGCGAATTTGTGGAATTAAGAAAATGTTTTGAATTTTTTTTTTCAATTTTTTATTTATTTGGCAAATCGTCAGGTCACATTCGATTAGCAGCTGGAACATATAACTATACATTCAATTGCAAACTCCAGTCTTCTCTCCCTACGTCCTTTGAAGGTTTTGGTTTTATTTTGCACGAAATTCGCGTATTTGATTTAAATAATTTCATTTATTGATTCGAAGGTAAACATGGATTTATAAGATATACAGCCCTCGTTGTGGTAGACCATCAAAATTCGAAAGAAAAAACATTTTCCGAACCATTCACCGTAATTCGTGACATTAACTTGAACTATAATCCGGAATTGCGTGTAATTTCAATGCCATTTTTTATGATCTAGAAAATTATTTAATTGAAAATACACTTTCAGAATCGAATCATCGTGGAAAAAGAAAAATTGTATAAACGATCATTGATATTATTTTGTTGGTGTCCCGATCCCATAAAACTAATTATAAGAACGCCAGTGGCCGCTTATACGCCAGGGCAAGTGATAAATTTGGACATTATTGTAGACAATAAAAGTGCTGTGCCAATATCTAATTTCATCGCATTATTGATTAGAGTATGAATTGATCGCATATTTTTCGAGAAACAAATCACATTTATTTTATATTCTGATTGCAGGAAGTGACTTACACGAAACCCAGAGACAGCAATGATCAACGAGTCGAACGAACAACCATAACTAAAGAGATTGGTGACGGTTGTGACAAGTATAAAAACAAAATCATTCTGCTGAATATCAAAGTGCCATCAACTCCACCAACTGATGCTACCGCAAGCAATCTCATTAAAATTGAATATTACGTGCATGTAAGTGGACTCATTTTGGTTGTAAAACTTTTAATGTGCTTTTTCCCTCTTGTATAGATCATTGGTACGATGCCATGTTGCCGTGCAAATATTCGAACAAATTTTCCAATCACAATTGGCACATTTCCACTTCGAAATAATATGACGATCCAATCAAATCAAATGAGCAATACAAATAGTCCACATTCAAGTCGAAATGGTTTTTCAACCTCATATGAAGATGATGGTAAACATTAAAATAGGTTAACTCTATTTCATTTACTAATTTATTTTATTTTTTCTTCAAGAACCGCCAATCTACAAAGAAACTGTACAATCTAAAGGCAAAGCAAACACAAATTTTAAACCAAAATACGCCGTCTTCAATCACACTACAGCTTATTCCAGAAGCAGCTGAAAAATGATATAAAAATTAAATAAATGAATGAATAAATGAAATAAATCAACAGAACTTGTACTATGTGCGTTTTAAACTGTCTGAACATTTTTAAAAATAGATGAAATAGAATCTCATCGACACACAGCATACAACAGCCCGAACATACAATCCGAACTTCCAAAAATGTTCGATTGATGATCTCATTTGAGCGTCGTCGTAATGAAGAACAGATCGCTCTGTTCAATACATGAATAAAACTGAACGCGCGGTTCATTCCACAATGAAAACAAACACTAAACGCGTGGTACGCGTCGAACGCATTGGAATGTTTATGTTTATATGCGGTCACCGCAAGCAATGTAGTTTTTTTTTCGAGTAAGCGCGGAAGTCGCTGGAAATTAATTTGAATAAAAGAATAGTTTTATCAAGAAATTTTTTTTGTGATAAATACATATTGTCAAATGTTTAAGTGATGATAATCGTCAGCGGTTTCACTTTGTTCATCAATGTTATGACATTTTCGTGTCAAAGAAAACTGTACATATTTTTGGCATATAGAAATTCCAATGTTTTCCCAAATGGATAAAATACGAACTTACATGTGTTGTATACTACTTTCGTCTACCTCCACACGCTCCTCGTATCTCTGCGTAAGTCCGCTTTTGGAGTGTTAGTAAAAAAAAATACAAAAAATTACGTCACTCGAGACAAACCCTATTTTCAATACTAATAAAACAAATACATCATCGTAGCATGCTATGAAAACCTAACATTGAATGAATGAAATATAATCTACAGTTTCGCTTCGTTTTTCTTTACTTACAAGCTTTATGTTAAAAAAAATTGGACAGTGGTAAGCAATTCTCTTCAAACATAGAAATACTTTTATTAAATTATCGCCGCACCGGCTATCTGATACTTTCAATGAATGCGTACACAAAGCACACGCACACGCATCGTTCCGTAATCAAGTGTGTTTATATTTCCAAAGCACGATTTGAATACTGTTGTATGTATGTGTGTTTATATGTCGCGCCGACTATTCGGAGCCAATAAATGAAAGCAAAAGAAAGTGAGATACGCGCTGTGAACATCGCATTCAATAGTATTACAGATTCTTTGCGAAAAAGAAATCACAATTACAATTAATTTGTCCT